TTTCTCTGGGCCTGGCACTTCGGTTGGTCCTTAACTTCATACTCTCTCTCTCTCTCTCTCTCTCTCTCACACACACACACACACATGCAGACACACATGCCACCGAATTACACCTGCCAAATATACATAAATATGCATTCAACACAAACAAACATTCACACATTCATTCATGCACATGGTTATATGAGTTTTTGTGATGGTTGCAGCGCCAGGCAGAACCAAATCATTCAAATCTATTTGGTTCTGAGGATACTGATCTGAAGAAAGGTATGATTAATGCACATTATTGGATAATGGGTGATGCCTGGAAAAAGAAACTTTTGCATGCTTAACGGTATTATCTTTCATTGTACATTGTAGATGGTGAAGATTCTGCCTGGGGATGCAAAGTGACTTCAAACCAGAATTCATCTTGGGGTGCTGCAGTTTGTTCTGGGGATAATGATAAAAAAACAGGTATAAGTGATGCGTCTTGTTTGCAAATAAATATTAACTTTTATCAAGAATTTACTTTGTGCTTAGAGTCTGTCCATTTTGTTGTATGTTGTAGATGATGCATGTACTGCTTGGGAAAACAAGGCGACTACAAAGCAGAATTCAGCATGGGCTACAGGTGGCAGTGATCAAGTTGGTAGTTGGGACAGTTGGAATAAAGCTGCCGCCAAGACTGACTCTGGCAGCGGTGCATCTGATGCTTGGGGTAAAGCTATAAGTTCTAGTGGAGATCCATCAGGTGCTTCAAAAGATGTTGGAGGCAGCTGGGGTCAAGCAAAACTTAAAATTGGAAATCCTGCTGATTGCTCAAATATCACCTCTTGGGAGAAAGATAAAAATATGAATGTTGGTGATGACAGTTGGAAAAAGTCAGAAAGTTGGGATAAAGGAAAGAATGTCACTCAAAACTTATCTGGTGTGTGGGACAATGCAGCTGCTAAAAAGAATCAAGTAAATTTGTGGGGCAAAGGTAAAGATGTGGTTGATGCAGGATCATGGGAGAAGAATGGAAACTCAAGTGTTAGAGAGGGCCATTGGAACAATAATGCTTTAGGATCAAATCAACAAGAAAGTTGGGGTAAAAAGAATGATGCTGGTGGTAGTGAAGACAATACTTGGGGTAAAGCTGCAGAGAAGTGGAGCAATAAAGATGATTCTGGTGGAAGCAAGGGAAACTGGGGCAGCTCAACACTTGCGGCAGAAAATGCAAAGGGACGTTGGGGAAGTGCAGGTGCATGTTTGACCAAACTAGAAGCAGTGAGCACTGATGAATCTAGTGGCTGGAAGAAAGCCAATGATTTCAGTGGGAATCAAACTACGAACTGGGACTGCAAGAAAGATGCAAGTGAACTTGCAACAGGTTGGACAAAAGGTGGATCCCATCAGTCTGATGGCTGGAATAAAGGAAAGGTCGCTGATGGAGGAACTTCCTGGGGCAAACAAGATGGAGGTGAACAACTTGGGGGATCTTCATGGGGTGAACAACCTCTTGGAAATGCAGAGAATGATTCCAAGGGGTGGAAGAACAAAAATGATGGTTGGAATAAACCAAGAAGTTCTGGCGGGGATCAGGGATCTGGTGGGTGGGACAAGGGAAAGATGGAAAGTAAAGATGGTACAGCTCCTCAGGGTTCTGGTTGGGGTAAGGGAGGCAATTGGAACTCTAATTCTGGTGGAGCAAGCCAGGGTTCTAATTGGGCTAGGAAAACTGATCCACACGTAGGATCTGGTGAAGCAACTCAAGATTCTAGTTGGGGAAAGAAAAGTGATTGGAACTCAGGATCTGGAGATATGAATCAGGATTCAAACTGGGGTAAGAAAAGCAGTTGGGATGCTGGTTGGAACTCTGGTTCTGGTAGTGCAAAGCAGGATCCCAATTGGGCTAAGAAAAATGATTCGGATTTTGGATCCAGTGATGCAACCAAAGGTTCTGGTTGGGGAAAGAAAAATGACTGGAACTCAGGATCTGGGGATGCAGATTCGGGTTGGAAGAAGAAAAGCGATTGGAACTCTGGAAATGGAAATGAAGACCAAAATGTGACTTTTAGTAGTAGGGGAAGTGGTGGAAATTGGAGGGGAGGTTTTGGTGGTAGGGATAGTTCAGGTAGAGGCTTCAGAGGTAGAGGGAATGCAGACAGAGGAGGTTTTCGGGGTAGAGGTAGATCAGATAGAGGGGGTTTCGGGGTGGAGGTGATGGAGGCTATGGTGGTAGGTGGTGATAGGGGAGGCTTTGGTGGTAGAGGACGTGGAAGGAGGATCAAAATGGGGGTTGGAACAATGGTGATTCTGGTGAAGATAAGTCTTCCAGCTGGAACAAAGAGGCAAACAACGGTGAAGGATGGAAAAGTAATGATGAAATGAAGTGGAACCAAGGCTGGAATGGTAGAACAGGTCCCGGAGATAAACCTAAGGCTTGGAATCAATCAAATGCTGATCAACAAGGCCAATCTTCCCATTGGAGTCAATCCAACAATGTAAAACAAGGTGGCTGGAATAAAGGCACTGGTTCAACCAATGAAGCAGGTGGGAGTGAGGATAACAACTGGAAGTCATCCAGTTCATCTGCTTGGACCAAATGTTCTAGCTGGAGCCATCCAACAGGCAGCAAGAAATTAATGAAGGTAACAATCAGGACCTGGCTCTGCTGGAGGCTGGGATAACCAGGGATCAGGCTGGAACAGAGGAGCAGGCTCTGGAGATCAAGCTAGGACTTGGAATCAATCAAATGCTGCTGATGGAGGCCCATCTTCTGGTTGGAATGAGTCAAAAGATGTAGAAGAAACTAGCGGGAATCGAGATTCATGGGGTAAGGCAGCATCAAGTTCTTGGGGACAGGGTAGCGGTAGTAGCAAGGGAGGATGGTAATTATCATTGAAGTAGTTGCACATTTGCTTACCAAAGGTTTTGATTGCTGTAGAAACTTTATTTTGTTCTCTTGCACAGCTAGGTTCTGAAACCGTAATGCCTCCATGAAAGACGATGTTTATAGCCTGTAATGCTTTTGCATTGCCTACTCTGTAGAGCTCAAGAAAGCCCCATGTTTCATTCTCAGGCAGTAGGTGTACCAACTAGTATGATGTATTTTCCGTAGTCACAGTAACTGCTTTATTTTCCTTTAAAGTTTATGCATATAATGTCTAGGATTGAAGGGTTTAATGTTTTCATAAGTTATGTTATTTAGTTTCTTCGGACTCATAGAATCCCCTGTGAGCTGTGCTGGAAGGGTTCTGCTGGTCATGTTTTCCTTTGCATTAAGCTTCTGCTGTTGGAGATGAAGAGAACTAAGATATAGCATGAACTACAAAAGCATTGACCTTTTTTCTTTTCTTTTAATGGAAAGGAATTGGATGGTTTGAATTAGAGTGGACAGGTTTGTTAGAGCGGGAACCCTTCCAACGCCACCTATTTTGTTGGGTGCAGCGTCTGGAATGACATTTGACATCAATGCTTCGAGTGTAATAATAGTTAGTTTTCATGTTCTAAATTCGACTCCGCCTATCACGGCCTCAGTGGTAGTTGAAAACTCAGTTTGGTAGCAGTCGATAAAAATGACATGGACCATCCGTTTGGCTCTCGTTAGTAAATAACACTGAAAAACGAACCCACTAAATACGCTTGGAAAACAATACTAAGAAAAATTGTGATGTGCTTTGGTGTTTATCTTATGAACTTTGGTCTATAAACCTTGTCTCTACGTCTCACCTATTAGATCAATTACCCAAATCCTTACCAAATCGATGAGTTGGAGAATAAAAAAATTTATTAAAAAAAAAAAAGTGAAAAATAGTCAGTGTTTTAAAATAAAATAAATTGTAAACAAGGTGATTAACAAAGCCGTCTTAGCTCAGCCGGTAGAGCGCATGGCTTTTAACCATGTGGTCGTGGGTTCGATTCCCACAGACGGCGGCTGTATACTAATTACCCAATTTAAAATTACATTTTCTTTTCTCTTTCCTTGGTTTCCCTAAAGACCAATGATCAGAAAGAAACATTTTGGTTGCTTACCTCAGCAGAAATTTTGGGTCTGTTAGTCCTGGTTGTTAAGAGAGACAGAGAGGGCAATGCACCGTTTTCAATAGGAAACTGAAGCTCTATTTATTCCAAATTATTTTAATTATGATAAATTGAGACGAATGGAATTATAATAAAAATCAAGGAAATATCTAAATGAACAATGATAGATAACAAGCCCTTGCAAAAAGTGTTTCAATCTGGTTGAATCAAATTATAATCTACTACTAATATTATAAACATTCATCACATTATCGTAGTGTTCCAGAGTCTGACTTTATGGTTCAATACTTTAACACAAATTACAAAAATATAATTTAATAAATATGTAATAAAATACAACTTACTGACTAATTTGAAAGTCTAAAATCACCTCTTAAACTATTTTCTTTCCTTCAATTTTTGCATTGATTGACAATTAGACTTGGTTCCACCAACCCCATTCTAAACCCTTTTACCCACCATGGTAGAAGAAATCAACAAATTTTCTTGGTCCATAATTGGGATTCCTTTAGATGTACAAGGCAACCTTGTTATACACTCATTCATGAACACTCAAAAGAAGAGATTCTAAAGCCACCCCATAGAACCTACTAAGGTAGATTGCCAAAATTTTCCAATAAGGAGACATGCCATGTTAATTGCACATCATTATCCAAAGAAAAAGGCTAAACAAAAGGAAAAAGAGCAAAACAAAATGGGGGGACCCAAAGACACTGAATTTGATGTGGAATCTAACATTCCACCTCAGCCACCCACATCATATTCATATCCTCTCAATACTCTGCCTTTTTTTCTTCAAGATTGGCAGAAGAATCAACCAAAACTAATCAACAGCTACATATCGTCTGTCTTTGTGCATTTGTTTCTTTGTTAAGTAATTCAGATGGGGACTAGGAACCAAACTAATCAAAGAAATCTTTCCCTTTCTTTCATTTTTATCTAAATTTATCATTGATTTCTTTCCTTTTCTTTTCTTTTTTTTAGCCACATTTCTATAAACAACAATAATAATAATAATTGATGGAGATAGAGCACCATTGGCTGGTGATAGGATACAAAACCAAAATAATTAGAAGAGACAAAAAGATTGAGGCTATGGATGCGGTTGGTGGGGGCGGTGGTGCGCCGCTCCCGAATATCATTCCAAAGTAGTCGCCATCATCTCCGGACCCTGCATTACCGGTGTTGGTGGTGCCGGTGCCGTTGGACCCACTGCCGCTGTATCCTGGATAAGAAAAGCTCCCTGTCTCTTCCCTGTAAAAATAATTCAACAGCAAAATACATAAACTCATGCATCAGACATAAGATTTGTGTCACATGACATAATAAGAGTTCTACATTAAACAGAAATAAATGGCGGTTCATTAGATATTTGTATTATAGATATTGTCCCACATTCCAAGTATTTAAACCGAAAAGTTTGCAGGTTCATAAATAATTGTAAGTTAAGCCTAATCCGGATGCATACATAATCAAATAGAACCTTTTCAAGAGTACCAAATAATAGCAGCAAACCTTCAAGTGGGTATATCAATGGTAGGAAGCTGGAGAAGTGGGTCAGTAATGGGAAAAGAGCATCTTGTGGGGGCAAGTTTGGTTCTTTTGAATATAACTTTTCATGACTTAATTTTGAATTGCAGTTACCATTTTGTGCTGCAAAGAGACAAAAGACTCAAAAAAGTACTTGAGAAACAGTATGGTGCTGACCTAAGATTTTAAGGCTCCTCCATATGGGTGCTGGTGAAAAGAATAAATTAATGACAAAAAAAGAAAAGATATGGGCAGTTTCAGTGAATAGTAATTGGCAGGAGTGGACAATTCACTTTCATTTTAATTTCTCTTTTTGGCATTCAATTCAATGCTGATTATGAAATTCAGAAAAAAAAAGGATTGTTAGAGAAGCTAAAACCATATTGAGGACCCCTGAAATGCAGCATAATATGACTAGGACACACAACAAGTTACTATCAAAAACAAGAGAAAAAGGCGTGTTTTCATAGCAAATTGCATCAAAATCATTTGCATTTCCACATTAAGATTCGGTTCTAGCCTATCTAAGACGTGTTTTCATACTAAGACTTAACAATTTAGAAAGCATCTAAACTTTGCAGACACTCCTCTTGACCTCAATCAACAAGAGTGACATGTTTCATTTCACAGAGTGTAAGGCAAGATTTCATTATCTCCTGATGCTAGGTAACGACAACCAGGAAAAGGACCTTAAATAAGAATACAACCATACTAAACATTTATGGATAGAAAACTTCTCCAACAGTTTATCGAACTAATAATATAGTCAATCCATCCTTCTCAGAATGGAATCTCACATATGCAAACGGTGGTAATAAATGTATCGATCATTATTAACCAGTATCATTGACCAGCATAACTACAGAACCTAATCTTAATATCAAGGAAAACCTTTCGATAGTGCCTTTTTTCTACACTTGCACCAAGCCCTCAACTTCATCTCAGTTCCAAAACCAACCTGTCCACCAGATTCATGATAGAATTTTAGGGGTTGGCCTCAGTTAGTCCATCAACCTCCTTAAGTGGTGACCAACCCACAGTGCTGGGGTGCGACACCTCTACGAGAAAGGGTATGTGCAAATAGGTATCATGCATAACAGAAGCAACTAAAAAGGGCCCAGCAAAGTGCCAACAGGTCAGAGGGAAGGCCCCACTGTCTTCTTCCCCTACTAATACAACTATTTGTCATGTCCAGTTTTATATCAACATCAGACGGTGGGGCCCACATCGGAACAATTAAAAATGATAGGCCCCTATCCTTACTAGCTGGAAAGCAGATCAAAGGCAATATTAACTCAGTCACCTGCCCCTACACGAGTAGAGCACCAAAAGATGACCTGTGTGGGTCTCTCTCTCTCCTACATTTATCCCACACAAGGAAACAAAAAAGATACCCTTTTTCCTTCAGTACATCTCTTGCAACTATACCCTCTTTTTCTCAATTTTATCCCTGCTTACACACATGTGCACATGTTCATGGATTCTGATTGGGACAGTCTTTTTGATAAAGACACTACAACCTTGGATGCCAGTTATATAAACACTAACATATCTGAAGAAAATAGTGAGAATTTATAAATGAAAGATATCTTTTTTTTTTTTAATATGATGAATCTTACATTATGTGCTAATTTGTTTGGATAGCAAGTACTAATCATGCATGGAAGTGTCAACTAAATAGTGCATCTATACTAACCAGTCTCATTGGCAAACCTAATCAATCATTTGATAGGATCAAAAGAAAAAGGAAACGATAAGAGTAATAGAAATACACAAACAATTTAGTATTTATTATACCATTTCTTTTATTTATACATTTTATTAAATCTTGACCTTTAATCAGCCTGAAAAGTTTTGACTTCACAAAGGGTAATTTCAAAAATCAGACTAGGGGGTTTTGGTGTTAGGCTTTTGTGGCAAGTGGTACCACCTATGCTTGCGTAGGCCAAAAACTGGTCTCCAAGAAGAAAATAGTTAAAAAAACAAACACCAGAACCAAAGAGAATCCAATGGTCAAAAAACAAGAATCACAGACTAGAAACAACCTTAAAAGAATTAGTGTTACATAATTACCCTAAAAAGGCAACGACCTTCCCCATGCAAGCATAGGAAAGGCAGATGGATTAAGACAACTGAACTGTTATAAGGCTGAAAGGCTGTGCTCTCACACAGATTCCCAACACAAGCGTGATCACGTGCTTCTATGTGAAAAAAAGGGTATAAAAGACAGTAACTGAAATAAATTAGTGTGAACAAGTCTTAACTTTCAAACTAAAGAATACTTTAATTGTCTCTAAACACAAGACAGTGAGGGTTGTTTAACACTAACAAAGCAACCACTCATTAACTAAAAGCTGAAACTGGTTTTTATTTAGAACTTTGTCTGACCAACAGGGTTCAATGCATGGTTAATTGCAAAAAAAATTTAAAAAAAAAACCTGGCAAGCAGTAAGTGGCAAGGGGCATTTTCGTAAATAAGAGATGAAAAGACAAAAAACCCTACTTCATAATCCAACCACAGGATAAATCTTACTTTCGGTAGTTTCTTGCACCATAGAATCTGAAATCCTAAGGCTTTAAGTTGGAGTAAAGACGGTTAAAAGTGAAAGGAAATTCAGTTATTTATTGGGTTTTCACTTTTCAGATAATTACCTAGCCTCACCGAAGACGCCAGCGTTGAATGTGAGCTGTTGAATGAGAGCAGCAGACTTGGGCTCCACGCTGGAAGCTTTTGCATACTGGGCGCTTAAGCCAGCTCCAGAGGGCACAAAGTATGCTCCATTTACCATTAAGTCCCCCTCTGTCCTCCAGTTCCAGTCTGTCCAGTCTTTCTCGTTTGTCTCCACTCGCTTCGTCACCTGTTTAAAAAACCTACACCGTCAGGATTTGCATTACACGCGCCCAAAGAGGCAAGCTCAAATACGTACCAGGATTCTAAACAATAAAGAGATGTTGCCTTTGTCCAAGGTGGATTTTAGTAGAAAAGGGAAGCTGTAAAGAATTGGCAGCCAAGCCTCTCAGGGCTGGCATGCACTACTAACCCTATCAGACAAAAGCAGTAAACAAACGTAAAAACAGGGTGTTTTTCCCATGCCATTTTTAGTCAAATAAGCTCTCTATATAACATGCAGCATGATCTTGGCACGTTCTAGCCTTCAAAAGGTACATTTTGCACCATTGAAGTTGAAAACACGAATCTAAGACACTAATCTGACTAGACAGAGCAATGAACTTAAATGGGATTTTGGTAAAACTTGAAGCTTGGGAAGTTTGAATAGAGACCGTTATATTGACAATTGTGCATTCAAAGCTTTCTCCTTGCGTTTTTTCTAACATTGTGCGCTCCACTACCAGGGAAGGGGGCCACCGACGCTGTCATCTTCTCTACAAATCTAATACACTTTTAATCACTTTCCCAGTTTTCACTCAGATCTTTGCTCACTTTTCTCACCTTTGCAACCCTCCTTACTCCATTGTCCCAACATTCCACGCGCCACCGCTGCGAGTGGCGACTAGGGAAGAGCTCCACTTGCAAAAATATTCATTTCCCAAAACTCAAGTCAAAAGGTTTCACGAGACAGCCACCAAGAATCATTCATCAATCATAAATTTACCATCATCTCTTAACTCAAAACATTCTAAACCAAAATGTTAAAAGAAAAACAATTAACCAATCAAATAAAATGTGAATACCTCTTTAGCATTGGGGTCCCCTGGTGCAGTATATCGATTCCCCTGACTATTGATGGTAGGGTTTGCACTACCACCGATAGCATACATTTCCCATGCAGTAAAATCATTGTTCACCACGTGTATATACCCCCGCCGGCACCTTGGCATTCTTTGCACCAACGCTTCTCCGAAGTGATTAAAGGCTATGGTCACCTGCATTCCGGAATCAGGCAAATACCTAAAAAAAGGAAATAAAAATAAGATTCTAAAAATTAAAAATGTATATAGAAGCAAAATCCCATCAATATGTTGAAACTCATCTATTAAAATGTCTCAAAATTTACGTCATTTTGATTAGAGGAATTGAGAATGTAGACAGTGAAAGTACCTGTCATCATGGCCCAGAAGCATAACTTCATCATGGTGAGAAAAGTAGCTATTACTAATGGTAATCCCGGTGGACCCCATGATAGCATCGATCAGGCCATCAGTGCAGTAACTAAGGGAGCAGTGATCAATCCAGAGCTTCTGAGAACCAAATATGGAAATCCCATCACCGTCCGACCTCCCTCTCCATCCAACGTGAGTTGGAGATGAAGCAATGTCAGTGTTCCCCGAAGGCTTACAATGGTGCACATGGATGTTATGGATGATGACATGAGACACATACTGCAGAGTTATACACCCATTTCCGGTGATATGAACGTTGGCTCCCCGGCCATCGACGGTTTTGTATGAGTTGAAAATCAGCTCGTGTTTGAGCTTGATGACCATGTTCGTTGAGAAGATGATCCATAGGGGTTCGTTTTGGATGACAGCGTGACGGAGAGTGCCCGGCTTGGGGTTAGCAGGGTTGCCGTCGGAGGAATCGGTGACGGTGTAGATCCGGCCGCCTTTACCACCTAGAGTGCCTTGTCCAAAACCTATGGAGCAGTCGGCTAAGCGTTGGCGGTTGTTGTACCAGTTTGGGTCGCACCGCCAGCAGTCGTCAATGGGGTTTCCGGTGCGACATTGGTCTTTTTCGGTTACAGACAGGGCTTGTCTTCTTGATAAGGACACGTTTAACCTCCTTCAAGGGAAAAAAGCAAAGATTTTGAGAACATGTGGTCAGATTTTTTTGAGGAAACAGGGGAGAAAAACAGAGTATTCTGTTTATTAAATGTGGTATGTGAGAAAATGGGTCTAGATTTTCTTTTCAGTCAGAATCCTTAAAAAAAGAGGAAAAAGAAAAAGGTTTTGGCTTAACAAAACTCTAAAATTGTTTAGAATAACATGAGAATTTTTTTTTTCCTTTATTAGAAAATGCTTTGGGAGAAATCTTTTGAGTAAGAAACAAGGAAGAAACAAAGTAGAAAAAAATGTGGTATCAAAGAAAATGTGGCCACATGTTTTTCAGTCAAAATCCTTGACAAAAAAAGCTAGACCCACAAGAGTGGGTTTTTGGGTCATTAAAACTCTAAAATGGGTAAGAAAATTTTGTTTTTAAAAACAAAATCTTGGGAGAAACCAAAATGCAAAACCCCAGAAAGTTCAAAAGAAGGCTTACCTTTGAACATCTTGAACAACGGATTCAGGGTCAGGGTGCTGGTGAGGGAGGCTAAGATTGAAGGCAGCTCTGGCAATGGAAGAGACAGAACCCAGGATGCATATTAAGAGAATGCAGGTTAAAGGACGCATCCTGGAAAGGGAACAACAATAATGGAAGGGGGCTGGGTTTTAATCTTGTTGGAAGGGGTGGGTTCCCTTTGCTTTCCCCCTTCTGTGAAAAAAAGGTCCCTTCTTTGAACACGATGTCTTGCTTTGCTTGTTATTCGAAAGCACAAAACAAACTTAGGAGGTTGCAAATCCTTGGAAAATGTGAAGTGATTTATATCATAAGTATCCAAAAAATATCATGCTGTCGACAAAGAATAATTTAAACAACAAAAAAAGAACCTTTTTTTTTGTTTTTTTTGTTTTTTTTGTTTTTCTCTCTCTTTTCTGTTGGTTAATCTAATCAGAAGAGAAGGAAAAGAAAACTGCGGCCATAATGGGAGCAAGAGAAAGCAGAGAAAGAAGAATAACCTTATCCGTACTCTCTCTGTTTCCCCTGTTTTCCCTCTTGCAGACTCCCTCAGTTACTCACATTCCTACCTTGCTCCTTAATTATTCTAAGACAAAGAGATAATGAAAAGGAAAAAAAAATCAACTCTCAAAAAGGGTTAATCTAGGAAGAAAGAAAGAGAAGGCAGACAGGGAGCTTATCCAAATGCTGAAAGCTCTTTTCTTTATCTTCCTCCTTTCCTTCTTCCCTTCCCTTAAGACTAAGGTGATCTTTTACCTTTTGTTTGAGGATTGAGATTCTTTACGGGGGAAGGGTTTGAAAGTATATAATAGTTTTCCTTATTTTACCCAATAAGCAAACCAGCCCACGAGTGTGGACAGAACAGCAGAAGCCCCGTTGGAAAAATGTCCTTGTTCCCTGTTGCAAAAGATTTGGTGAAAGAGAAGACAAAAAAGAGGTTAGATTAGATATTAATCAAAGATTCAAAGACTACGCCTCCTTTCAATAGGCTTTTTGCCTTACAACTTCTTTTTGAGTCAGTTAAAATTGGAGGCTTTGGCTTTGGGTCTCATGGAAAGTTCTCTTTCCCAAAGATAAAGAAAAACCACCTTCTTTGACTTGTAATCCAGATGGTTTATAAGGGACTTGTAATAGGGTGCAATACTGAACCACATATAACCCGCTGTAAACTGAGTCAAACCCAAATCTCGCTTGGGAGTCCAGCTCCAGTAACGAGTCCAAACGAGTTTGAGTTATATAACACTTGGCCAAGTCCCTTTTTCTCCTCTAAATTTCAGTCTTCGTTTCATTGGATTTGGATTTGTATGATTGAATACAATTTGGGTTATGATGCTTTAAAGTTGTGCTTTTAATATCTGAAATTTAGGGTTCCTCTAATTGTTCCCATTTCCCTTTTAAACAAGAGAATTTTGGGATTTATTTTGATTGTATATTGATAATATTTTTTATGATTACTACCATTTTATTCTCATCTTTAATGTCTTACAAAAATCACATGTAATTAAATCATGTCCTTTTCTACATCGTATGGCCTTTTTTATATGCTACATGTATAAGTCCATTCAATTAAGAGGTTTTTTTTATTTTATCTATTTCATAAAAAAGATTTTGGCAATTTAGAATCTTAATATGCTTTTTAAGCTTTAAACTACTATTTCTAGTAATTAATGATTAATGTGTTGGTTTTTAATGTATTAATTGAAAATATTATTTAATATAGCAGAAATATATCATGTACCCCTTATTTGCATCCACATGTAGTACCCTTAATAAGTATTATTTTAAATATTCTTTAGCAAAATCCTTAATAATCACATATATTTAGCAACAATCATTATTTAATTTTTTTTTAATAAAAATTACGAACCCATGAGGAAAACCTAAACAAATTAAAAGCATGCTGATTTTAAGTCGGTCTTGTTGTCAACTTAAACGGTGATTTTGAAACCTTATGTTTCATGCAAGGTGTTCTCAGATAACCCGTGGTGCTAATTAGGTTGTCAAATTTGCAAATGGACAAAATAATCATGACTTATTGACAAACTAATTCACTTAATTGGTAACTTTGTCTCTCTACTTAAGGAGTGATTATTTATTCAAATTTTACCGACAATTTCTTTCGAAGTATAGATGTCAATGGATATTTTATAATCAGATGTCTTACATTATTCGATCTAATTAATTAAGATTAGGGTAAAATATTATCAAGTTTGATAGTCAAGATACCACCTATCACGAGTTTATGTAATGGTTTTAGGTTGACCTAGCAATTGGTATTTTCGTAACTTAATCATAACTATTAAGACATGAAATACATTAAGATTTAACACAAACACGACATGAATAATTATTTATGTTAGTATTTGAAACATGTCTACGGATATATTTAATAATGATGTAACATGACACGACTGACATGTTATGATTTTTTATATGATACGACATGATTAATAACCACGATTAAACAATCAACTTAAATTTTGTTCTAACATGATTAACACTTTTAACACAATTAATTTAAAATATTTACAATTAAATAAAATTTTATTATTCAAATTTAAAATCAATAATTATAAAAACAGTTATAATAAAATAATAATAACATCAAATATAATAAAATTTAGCATAAATAACATACATAAAATTCATTATTATACGAATAAAATTCATCATTAACATTAAACATCTTACTTATACACGTTTAATCGTGATAGCACACTTGATACAATTAATTGAAAATGTTAATCGTGTCTGATACGGTTAAAATATAAAACACAATAAAGTTAAACCCAAACTTATTTAACTCCAAGTCTTTTTGTATTGTGTTATAATGTCATGTCCAAAATAATCAAATCTAATTTTAAGGTATCCAAACCTAGTTATAAATAATAATTTTATTAATTGATGTAGAAGCGACATGATTACTACCATTTTATTCTTATCTTTAATGTCTTACAAAAATCACATGTAATTAAATCATATCCTTTTCTACATCATACGGGCTTTTTTTATTTGCTACATATATAAGTCCATTCAATTAAGAGGTTTTTTTTTATCTATTTCATAAAAAAGATTTTGGCAATTAAGTATCTTAGTATGCTTTTTAAGCTTAAACTACTATTTCTAGTAATTAATGATTCATGTGTTGGTTTTCAATGTATTTATTGAAAATATTATTTAATATAGCAGAAACATATAATGTACCCCTTATTTGCATCCACACGTAGTACCCTTAATAAGTATTATTTAAATTATTCTTTAGCAAAGTCCTTAATAATCACATGTATTTATCAATATTGATTATTTAATTTTTGTTTAAAAAAAAATACAAACCCATGTGGAAAACCTAGACAAATTAGAACTATTCTAGTTTTAAGTCCGTCTCGTTGTCAACTTAAAACGGTGATTTTGAAACCTTATGTTTCATGCAAGGTGTTCTCAAATAACTCGTGGTGTTAATTAGATAGTCAAATTTGCAAATGGCCAAAATAATCAAGACTTATTGACTAACTAATTCACTTAATTGGTAACTTTGTCTCTCTACTTAAGGAGTGAATATTTATTCAAATTTTACCGGCAATCTCTTTTTGAAGTAGAGATGTCAATGGATATTTTATAATTGGGTGTCTTACATTATTCGATCTAATTAACTAAGATTAGAGTAAAATATAATCAGCTTTGATAGTAAAGATACCATTTATCATGAGTTCATATAATGGTTTTAGGTTGACTAGGCAATTGTTATTTTCGTATCTTAATCATGACAATTAAGACACGAAACACGTTAAGACTTAACACAAACATGATATGAATAATTATTTATGTTAATATACGAAATATGGACATGAATATATTTAATAACCGTATAACATGACATGACTGACACATTAAAATTTTTTATATGACATGACACGATTAAATAATTAACTTAAATTTTGTTCTAACACGATTAACGCGTTTAACATGATTAATTTAAAATATTTATAATTAAATATAATTTTATTATTCAAATTTAAAATCAATAGTTATAAAAACAGTTATAACAAAATAATAATAACATCAAATATAATAAAATTTAACATAAATAATATACATAAAATTCATTATTATATGAATAAAATTCATCATTAACACTAAACATGTCACTTATACATGTTTAATCGTGATAACACGATTAATATGATTACTTAAATGTGTTAACAGTGTCTGGCACGGTTAAAACACGAAATATAATAAAGTTAAACTCAAACTTGTTTAACTCCATGTCTTTTCATGTCGTGTTACTATGTTGTGTTCAAAATTATCAAACCTAATTTTACGGTATTGGAACCTGTTTATAAATAATAATTTTTATTATTACATTATTTTTTTATATATATTTGTTTATAAATTCTTTATAATTAGTGTAATAATTATTAAAATTTATTAACTGTTCTAAATATAATTTTAAACTTTAATTTACTTCTTTATGAAATAACTTTAATTTGTTAATGTAGTTTTTGTTTGATAACATATACACAAAATTTTATTTTAATTGAGTATTGAATGAGTACGGGTTCAGTGAGAAGTGTCTAAGATATCCAAGCAAGGGTTTGAATAGTAATTAAAAAAATTAATCAGATATTTATAAAATCAAATGTCTTATCAAAAAATAATATTCAGATTAAGATGTTTCAAAAGTATCGAGTACTTCATCCATTAAAATTATTAATCATTTTCATCAAAAAGAAGTCTTAAATTTGAACTAATCAATAATAATACAAGTAGAAAGCGATTTGACAAATACATGAAAATTTTATTTTTAAATTTTGAAAACTTTTATAATAATGATTAAACCGTAAGAAAGTGTAGAAACATAACAAGGAAAAAGAAGTCCACTTGCACAAATCTTGTTTATTAAGTTAAGTAGTTATATGGTAAGTTTTTAATAATGTTTAATAGCTAGCTTCAATTGGACCATTGAGAAAATTTTATGCACCTCATGATTAGAGTTATACGGCAGACCAATTTTCTTTTTTAGAAAAAAAAGAAAAAATGTTAATTTTCAACTAGTAATTATTGTGCTCATTGATTTTCTATCAGTTCTTTCTCTAATTGACAACCCACGATTCAAATATCACTGCTGTTTCCAGTGATGATCCAAGCCTAACCTATTGACAATATTTCTAAGTTTTCTTTACATTTCTCTCTATATAATATAGAAAAATATTTTTCTAAAATTTACAAAGTTTATCACACAATACAGAAACCTGCACATTGCTAATTAGAGCAATGCATTTTGTTATTCTTCCTTTCTTATTTTTGAAAGAAAAAAAAAACCCAACATTGGTGATCCTCAAGTGGTTAAAAATACTTAATTTGGATGCTTTAAAATCTTAAAAGCAGCCATTAAAAATTTAAAGCTCCAATTTAGAAGTATCCAATTTGAATCATGGAGTAATTAAATTTATGAAATGAATAAAGATTATTTCTCGTTTTGTAATTCAAAATTCCTATATTCAAAAATATATATTAGAATTGAATTTTTCCCAATAAATCTATTTAAATAATTGAAAATTTTATTGTCTTTAATGGGTGAGAAAGAGCCGGAAGAGTCATACTAATAAAAAGGTTGCAAAAATTAATTAATTGATTTGAAAGTCAATTTGTTATATTGTATTGCAACTGTGATTTATATAATTAGTCAATAATCATTTAGTCTAATGGTATCTCATTTTATTAAAGATCAACTAAGAGATTCGTTATGTATTTAATTCTTAACATAACATATACAAATCTGAAATGGGAAATTAAATTGGGAGAAGATTAAATTTTTT